ATATAAAGTTATTAACAAGCATGTTTCAAGATTTATCGTATTTTTTACACCTTGAACTTTGACGCAACAGACTTAAAAAAATGTTTTTTCTTACATGAAAAAAATTGCTGTGCAAAGCTCGATAAAGCAGCGAGCGCAGCTTGACAGCTTCTTGCTATGCGCGTGTGTGTGTGTGCATGTGAGCGTGTGTGCTCTATCAACAAGTATTTGCATGCAATAGTCCCAGCTGCACCTGTTACAACAACAACAGCAGCAACGGCAACAGCCGAAAGCTGTGCACATTGTTCGAAAATAGCAGCTAATTTAAGAGAGCCTAGCGCGCCAGGCGAATTGGCCAATTCGCCTCGTCTATTTGCATTTGACATTTTCCAATGCTGAGAGAGAATGTACGAAACGAAAGAGTTTGAGCGTCAAGCCTACTCTTAAGAATTCAGCACCGCATGACCTTCAGAGAGATATTTTTTGTTTTTTGTTTTTGTTTTGATTTTACAGTTTCTTTTAACTCTTTCTTAGGCGCATTCGCTGGGATGCTTAAAAAAAGAAGAGGAAAAAACACACACACACAAACAAAATTAACATAGCTCAGCTGAAGAAAGCTGCAATAAGACAAAAGAAAGCTGCGGAATTTTAGCAATGCGGCCAACACGATGGCCAATGGCCTCCCCAGCCGCCAACACAAGGCCTTAACAGCCAGACCAGTCTAACTATGCAGAGAGCGAGAGGGAGATAGAGAGAGAAAGACAGAAGCGAGAGAAAAAGAGAGAAAAAAGTGAAGATCGTTCATTGCTGTAAGAAAATCAACAAAAAATGCTGAAATAAAAACATAAATATATATAAATATACAAAATATATATGTATATATTTTCATATATATTTATGTATGTCTATATTGGTTATGTCTTAACTACATTAAAAGCTCGCATTATAACTAAAACGAGGCAATTTAAATGCATTCGAACACGCGCACACCTCACATGCCAGAGTCTGGCCATAGTCTATCTATGATGGGGTATTACCACTACCATTACCATTACCATCCATAGTTTTTGACATGCAATCTCTTGGCATTTTCTCAATATATAGTATTATGTGATCTCTGTTCGATTCTCTGCACAGCAAACAAACAGCTTAATTTGTTCAATTATAATTTCAGTTCGGTTTAATTAAAGTTGAATTCGAGTTTGTAGAATGTTTAATTTGTTTGAGAAATGATCTTAACTTTTCGAATAGCTTCAGTTGATTGAGAAAGGGAAATAGAAAGAGAGAGAGAGAGAGAGAGAGAGAGAGAGAGAGAGAGAGAGAGAGAGAGAGGGAAATGGAGACCTCTAATCACTCACAAGCTTGAAAAATAAGTGGGATAAAAAATGACATTCCATGGGATTTATTTTCTACATATTTTACATATACTATATACTATATATGTATATCAATCTATAAATCTAAATATCTTTATAATTCTGACATCTCTCTCTCTCTCTCTCTCTCTCCAACTTCAGCAAGATTCACAGAATTCAGTAATATTTTTGCATTTCTTGAGACTTGCCAATATATAATACATAAATGTATATATGTATAGCTAGTTGATAAAGTTTTGTATTGCTGTAAAGATGTCCAGCCAGAGACAGTTGCTCATAATGGTATACTCTTACTATCCATGGAGTCAGCTCTAGTTCGCTTCTTGTTTATCAACTTTCATATGGTTCACTATTGCAGCAACATTTTTGCGTTTTACAACACCTTTAAGTTGACAGATATGGGAGACTTTTGCCAATAGATACGTATATACATATATACACATATATATACATATATGTATATATAGGCGACTGTGGAGCTGGCTGAAGTAGGCATGATTGCATTTTTATTTACAGTTAGTCGCTTGGCCAAACGAGTAGCTGAATAAAAAGCATCGTAGCTATTGCCTCTGCCAGCGTCTCAGTCTCGGTCTCTGGCTTGTCGCCGGACGCCTCTGTCGCGCTGCCACTGCCTCTGTCGCGCTGCCACTGCCTCTGCCTCTGCCTCTGCCTCGGTCTCTGCTGCTGCTACTTGACTGTCTGTGGCTGTCTATCAACTTGTTTATGAGGCACTGTCTCTGTTTCTGTGTCTCCGCCGTTGTAAGCTTGACTGCTGCAAGCAGCAGGGGCACATTTGCTGTGGCACTTAGCCATTGCCATTACTGGTTGTTGTTGTTGTTGTTGTTGTTTGTTGCTGGTCAGATTTGCTTGGTGTTGTTGCTGCTTGTGCTGCTGCTGCTGCTGCTTGACTAGCGCTTTTAGAAAGTATGTCAATTTAGAAAAGCCGTTGACTGGACAACGCACACACACACACACACACAAATACACGCATGCAGACCTGCATGCACACACACGAGACATAGCCACATACAGTGCACATCTCTATATACATATAAATATATTTATATATAAATAAGCCAATATATTTGTAATACCAACCCAAGCAAATTTATTGTTGTTCTTCTTGTTGTTGTTGTTGCTGTTTGTTTTTTTCTTCTTGCAGTTCTGTTAATTGATGTTGACTTCATACAAATCGCACTTGAACACAACACACGAAAAAAAACGACATTTATTCAAATTGCAATTTCCATGGAAATAAAACCCAGGCGAATTCGAAACGTCACTATAAAAACTTTGCGTCTAATTGAAACGAGCGCGCCGTCGCGACTGTCTAACTAAAAGCTTGCTGCTGCGGCTGTTACTTCGGCGTCGTCGACGCTGCTGACTCCCAAAAGAGAGTGTGAGAGTCAACGAGAGAGGGAGAGAGTGTCAGAGTGAACGCGCGTGAGTGCGGGCGGGGTAAAGCTGCTGCGATGCTGCTGCTGCTTCTTCTTTAACTAACTCGAAACTCTGCTCAGCTAATAATCGTTGCGTGCGGTGCTTTGTACAGACGCGTTAGCAAGTTTGCTGCTGACTAAATGGCAAATTTTATAATAGAGCACGTTGTGCGCTGAAACGACACCAAAGCTTAGCAGCAACAGCAGCAGCAGCAGCAGCAACGCCAGCTTACGCGCGCAGCCACAAACAGATAGAGAGTAAGTGAGTGCGAGAGAGCGGAAGAGCAAAACGAAGCAAGAGAGCAAGGAAAGACAGTTAACAGCAGTCAAATAGCATTGTTGTTGCTGTTTGTAGATAGCACAGGAAATAATATCACACACACACTCATGTAAAGTAAGAGAGAAAGAGAGAGAGAGCGAGAGAGAGGGACATGCGGCATTTTATGCGATATGAGCGCCAAAACATATCAATAACAGCGAGCAACGTGAAGGGGGCATAGTTGGAAGCTTACGGTTGACACCGGTGACGGAGGCAGCTGCAGTCAATTGAAAGTTCGCTCAATGTCCCATAGATGGAGCTACAGCTGCAGGTGCAAGGTTGTACGGAGAGCAACAGCCAATAATAAAACCAAAGTCTACACTAATACACACACATTATGAGAAGTAGATAGAAACAGCCGCGATCACAACCAAAATTAGAACATTACGTACATACATATATATGTTTATAACCACTGTGAAAATAGTTTATCAATTTTGTTGTTCCTTCGCTTTGCTTTGATAAAAAAAAAAAATATTTATTAGGAAAAAACAAAATGATGAAGTAATGATTGAACTGGAAGGTTGACGAAATTTGAGAAATATTTATATATGCGCACATAAAACTATATATACTCCAATTGAGTTTATACTCCACGGGGTTTTTTCTTCCTCTATATGTATGCTGTACCCAAAAAACACATATATATGCCGCATGATATATGCCTTAACATATCTAAATAGACCAAGTTCAGTAATTTATCTGTACTCTTATTTTATGTGTAAATAAATAAGGTATTTTGATATACAGAAATATTTAACAACATACATATGACGGACGCCCTTTCGAGGTTAAGTTCAGCGGAATCCACAATTGCAATTCAAAATCACTTACAAAAGCAGAAATAAAGGAGAATGAACAATCGTTGTAGTGTTGTTGTTGCTGTGTCTGCCTTGAATTACACTCTCCACATTCATCTCTCCACTTCAGTTCACTCCTTACGCATTACCCTCGCTTGCACTCTCATTGTAAGGTCAACGCAGCTTGACTCTCGACTGTCTGTCAGTCAGCGTCGCAGTCAGCCTCGGTTCACTTTCAAAAGCATTTCGAGCAAAAGTAAAAGCTCTCCCACGCAGTTTTTAATGGTGGTATTGTTGGAAAGAGAAAGAGCAAAAGCAGGAGCAAGAGCAAGAGCAAGAGATCGCATATCGTAAATGTTAACGTTGCCGTTGACGCCAACGTTTTAAGTGTGCTGCACGCAATGCTTAAAGACATTTTTGTCCACTGTTCCCAGATAAGATAACGAGAGCGCCAGGCATTGCTCTATGGGAGGGGTTTGGCTATGGGACTGGAGGGGAGGTGAAGAACTGGTTAAAGTTGTATGTGGATCGGTTTTGGGGCGGCGTCGGAGGTCGACCGGCGATTGACCCACTAAACAACGTTGATGACGCAGCGGGTCTCTCAGAGAGCTTTTGACGTTGATTAATTTCTCACACTTCACTAAGTGGGTTAAGGGCAGTTCTGATTGGGCAGAGCCGCTGCTGCTGCTGCTGCAAGTGATAGCACAGCACTTTTAAGGCGTTGCCACCCACCCAGTCATACAACAACACAAAAACTCACACACATGCTTAAATTTCAGTTCCAGAAGTACACAAATATTTGTACTTACATGCAAATAATACACAAATTATAAAACGATAAAAAGCGCGCGCCAAAGCTTTCGCTCGCAGCTGCGCTCGCGCTTTTGCACTCGTACTTGCACACGTGCAAACAAAAAAAAAAAAAATAAACACAATTGTATATTTCGACAATTTTTTTTTATTTGCTGCTGCGCTGTCCGCTGACTTTACGTACCGAGAGTCAAATGCGAAATGAGCCGACGTCGCAGCGCAGCGCAGCGAATGCGAACATACAACGTTTTTATCTGTGTGCAACGGATGGGGCGGGGGATAAGGGGTACAAGGGGTGGCTTTCGATTCTCGAGAGATGCTCCACGAAATTGTAATGGCCGGCCAGCAGCCCAAAAAGCAAGTCACGCGGCTGACTTGAAGCTTCACACACACACAGGCAGACTCACACATATGCACAGCGAAGTGGAGAGCGAGAGATCGCTGAGCGTAACAAGTGTCAGTGGAGCTGCTATCAGGTGGCAACACTGGCGCATTGAAATTTGAAAGCAGGCGCCCACTTTTAACGTTTTTCGTTTCATATTAGTTTTGTTTTGTTACGTAATGCAGCCGCCGTCTACGCTGCCGCTGCCACCACCACCACCGGCTTTGCTTTGGTGCTGTACTCTACGCGCCGCTGCGCCCGCTTAACTAGTCAAGCATAACAACAACCCGTTTTGGTTAATTTACATAAAATACGATATAACAACAATAGCAAGTCGCTGCACACTTGTTGCGCAGCCCCTCCCACTCTCCCTTTACCTAACAATAAAATTAAAATGAAAATCTATCCTAGCGCTGCGCAGTCGACGCATGAGCAAACAAACTGAGTGAGAGTGCCGAAACAGCGGCGGCTGCGCAGCCGACTGTTGCGCTTCATGGCTAGCGCACGTGAAAGTACAAAAAAGAGCCGAAGAGAGAACAACAGACAGAGAGAGGATTTTGTTTTCAAGTTCGAAACCAACTTCGAATTTTTTGTGACTGAACGTCGACGTCGACGCCGCCGTTGTCGCATCGCTGTCTGCACTCAAAATGCAAATTGTAAATTCTGTTTTATTTCCATTACCTAAAAATATTCGCCTCGAAAATAAATTCAACAGGCAGCATAGTCGATGACGTCAGCGCGTCTTCTGCTGCTTTGTGTTTGTTGCTGCGCTGTGCAAAATTTAAGCGAATTCAATGCCAAACACATACACACACATATGCGCCCCTGAGGAGCAGAACACAATATCCGAAGACCAAGGCGACGACGAACGAACAAACGATAATAGCGTCGCGGCGTAGGCGCAGCTAGTGATGTGCACATTACTAGTCACGAGGGAGTGCACGTGCTTGAAAAGTGAAAGCCAAAAACAATTCTCACATCTTCAACTTGTGGTGTCATCAGTCCTAATTACACAAAAGTCAATTTGATAACTTGAATTGCAAACTCAAATTAACTTATTTTTAGAATATTTAACACAAATGAATATCGGATATTCAAGTGTTACTGTGTTAATTTATATTTCACGCTCACATATGTACATATAACACGCGCACATCAGTAGCAGCAGTAGTGGCAGCAGCGTCAACGTTGGGTGCTTACCTGTGGCTGCTGTTGCTTCTTCACAGCGTTTTGTTTTCTTCTCTTCAGCCCAATAAAAACAACAGAAAATCGTTGGGTAGCTACGCAAATTTCGCACAAAATGGCAACGCTGGCACACAAACTGGTTTTGTCTCAGTTTGCTGGATGAACAGCAATGAATATGTGGATATATAAGTACATAAATCATAGAAAATAAGGTGTTAATTGATGAGAGCAATGGGAGAGCGAAAGAGAAAGAACAAGAGAGAGTGAGAGATTAAGATAGAAAAAGATTTTAACACAGCTTCGGTCACCCGCCCATTTTGGACATGTTCAACAAGCTAATTACGAATCGTTCTACTTTTGGCCGATAAATCAAATAATGAATGAACAGGCTTGCTCTCTCTCTCTCTCACACACATACATACATACATACACACACACAGACAGAGAGAAAAAGAGCGCGTTGACGTTACCAGTAACTGAGCGAGTATAAACAACTGAGCACAAATGAGCACAACTGCGCCGCAGCATCCGCTGCTACATCATTTGCCAGTGCCTTCCTCTCTCTCTACCGATCAATGTTTTTTGTCTTTTTGCCTCGAGCGCACGGCGAAGAGCACGAAAGTGGGAAGAGCTCGGTTGTTGTTAGAGCTTAGAGTTTGGTTGCCAATAGGCTTCGGTTTTGTGGTTATTTACTTCTTGTTTTGTCTCTTTTACGCTGCTTTCTTGCTGCCACAAGGCAAACCGTTACAAATGGCATGGGAATGTCAAGCCATTGAGATGCTGAACAAATCAGAAAGAACCAGAACAGCAAAGCGTTTAACTAATGTCCCGGTTCAATAAAATTCGAAAAAAAATCTCATACAACACACATATGCATGCGTGCGTGTGTGTATGGTAGAAGCAGGTCAACCGTCAAACCAGTGCTGCCAGCTTTTTTTTCCAGTCAAATCAGGATTGGGAATGTGAAGTTATTAGATCTTATTCAAAACTCACACAGAATCCAAACAAATTCTGTAAAATGAAGAAAGAACGTTCAGCTTATAAATTGGAACAATGTTAAAACTTCTAACTGGAAAATGCGCCTTTATGCTAATGAGATAATATGCTGTTGTTGGGCTAACTTATGTGTAGACACACATACATACATATAAATATACTTACACGCATACATATGTGAGTATGTTTGTATGTATGCGGCGACATATGATAGACGGAAGTAAGCGACCTGCAGACACAAAGAAAGACAGTAACACAATATAAGACGACGCAACATAACGTGTATATGTATGCGTGTATGAGTGAGTGAGTAAGTGGAAAAACTTTGAACGACCCGCTGGAAAAACGGTGGTTGCGAGACGGCATTGACTGCAATTTTCACACGCTTTGCCTAACACAACAATAATAAGCAGCAAAAGGTAGCCGGCGGGCAGCGACAGTGATTTATGGCAGCTGGCACACCAATAACAAAAACATACATACGTACATATGTATGTATATATATATACACATACACAAAATACAAAATGCATATATTAATTCTCACATTATTTTCCATTGTCTCGCTCTAGCGCACAGCGCGCGCGCTAGCTACTTTAGGGAGAACTCAAGCTTGGCACTGAAATTCAAATATTTAACAGACTTTTTGGCGAATTTGATTTAAAGCGGCGGCGGCAGCAGCAGCGGCGAAGAGAGCTAGCATGCAGCGAAATGTCTCTCACTCTCACTCTCACTATCTGATTTGTTGTTGTTGCTGGCAGACAACGATACTGTGTTAGTTGCATGTTTTAGCAAGTAAATACAACAAATATGAAGTGTCAACGGCAAATTTGCCAATTTGCAATGCCAAAAAACGGAAAACGTTGACACAGCGGCGCGCGGGCCGGTTAATGACTCACTCAAACCACTTCAACTCAAGTCGCGCTCTCTCACACTAGCTGACATGCACGCATACTAGCGCACACACACAAACACATATATGCACACTGACGCCGCGCACACCGGTATTTCAACATTGCGTTACACACTCATTCCGTTTGCTCGGTTGCTTTCTTGCCATCCCACTTCATTTTTATTGCCATTAATGCTGCATGATCACACACAAAAAAAATATTTAAAAAACTGAAAACCTTTTGTACTAGGTATACCCGTACGACTGCATATAATGAACCAGGCAAACGTGTAGGATATGAAAACCAATTAAATTGGCGGAACTCACCTGCAATTTCGGCTGACACCGGCAGTGTTTGCGTGGAGTTTTCCTTTCGTTTTAGTTTTATGTACAACGCAGCATACACTCAAACGCCAAAATACTATCGTTGTTTGTTATTGGCTACAAAGTCGCAGAAAATCACACAAAACTTGAACGAAAAAAAAATAATAGAATAAAACTGCTTCAGTGGCGCGGCGGGCACAAAAGCACAAAAATTACTTCGTTGTCGCTGTCGCTAGAGCTGCACCATAATCGATAGTATCGATAGTTCTGTCACCCAAAGCGAATGCAGAGAGCACCACCGTCTGCTGGCGGTCGTTCTCAGTGTGTAAAAGTATGCTGAACTGCTATTGGGTGCCTTCACTTATGTGCCTATACAGACTTGCGTATGTGTGTGTGACGGTGACTCAATGCGAAATGCGATGTAATTTAAATCTGACTCCTATTTAAATTGCCTAGCGCGCAGTTTTTTTTTATTGTTATTAGCCACTTAGGTAAAGGAAAGCGAGCTGGCGATCATTAATATTAGAGATGGATACATATTTCGACACATAGAAGAAAGAACTCGATATGATTTCGATATCGTAGGATTAGTTTACTTTATCGGCAGCTATTTCTTACTGCTGGTATTTATTCGCTTGCCTCCACAGTTTATCGATAACTGTGTTGGCGCGTGCAGCTGGTATTTGAAAAATGTCGGCCAAATGTAAATTTAGATACGAAAAAAAAAACAAATTTATTTAGCTTCAATTGAGGTGAGTATCGGGCGTCAAAAATAACTTATAATGCGCAACATTTCATGCTGAGCTCACTAATTTTGTACTCATCGAGGTCACATAGAGAGAGAGATAGAGAGAGAGATAAATGGAAATAGAATCAACTCGAAGTAATTAAACAAAAACACTTATGCTACGTCCAGGCGCTCCCGCAGCAGGCGCTCGCGACTCTCCTGCGGGTTGAGCAACACCTTCACCAGGTGCTCCACCGTTGGCCGCTCCGCGGTGCACAGTACTTTCAGCCCCAGCGACTCCAGGGCGCGTCGAGTGCTCGGCCCAATGGCCACCAGCTTCCACTGATCCGGCGAAATGTTGCGGGCCTTGAAGTATTCGTAGGCACAATTCACACCGGAGGGTGAAAAGAATGCCAGGAACTCAATGTTCTCCGCCTTCAGGGCACGATCCATGCACTCGGCCAGCTGTGGATTGCACTTCGTCTCGTACACCTCACACGCATCCACACAGAAACCATTCTCCGCCAGCTTCGAGAGTAGCGTGTCCGTGGCTAGATTGCCGCACGGCAGCAGCAACGGCAGATTCCGTGATCCATCGAAGGTGTCCACAATGAAGTCGCCCAGATTCCGGGCGTTGCCCGTCTGCTTGCCGTGGGTGAATAGTTGCTGCAGTGTGTTCATGGCCAGATTGTGCGTAACCTCGCCAACAGCATAGTTATGCAATAGCTTCCAACCGCTGGGCAGCTCCGCCAGCTGCAGAGCCTCGGCAACGGCCTCAACACACCTCGGACTGGTGAATATGATGCCCGCATATTTGTCCGGCGTCTGCAGCTTGGCTCGCAACTGTTCAAGATTCTTAAAGCCGAAGCTCAGCGTCGGCACGAACAGCGGCTGAAAGTTGTGCGCCAGCAGGGTCTCCGCGTAGACATCCGTGCTCTCCGATTCCGATTTGAATATAATCACCGTCCGCTGCTGGCTGCTCATCTTGCTGTTTGCCGTTTGCTCTCTGTCACGTCACGATCGATCGCCGTTTTTCGCTATATCTATATATCTAAATATGCCGATTATATAGTAAATGCAGTCGCAGTTCCTATGCAACTGCAGCGCTTTTTTTTTCCTTTCTTTATTTTCTTCGTTGTGCCTCCTTCTTTCTTATTACTGCCGCCGTTGGCCAGTGGCCCAACGATTTTTATTTTATTTTTATTGTTGCTGCTGCACTGCTCGCACAGCTGTTTTGCCGGCCTGCCGTGGAGTTGCCAGATAGTGCAAAAGTAGCTCCATCAACGCGTCAAAGGGGCCAGAGGGCGAAAATTGATTTTATTTGAAACTTATACACGAATGTAGAATACGAAACTTAATTTTTTCATAAAATTGATAAACTGATGTAAAACTTAAAGTAAATATTTCTTGTAAGTTTGGATGCGTTTTATTTTACAGCATCTCATATATTTTTATATATCTTCTTTATTCAACTTTATATCTTTAGATAAAAACATCAATATTTTCAATCAGTTAAAAACGCATGTATTTAAATATTTAATGATGAAATTATAAAAAAAATAGATATTTAATCAGTCTCATAAGTTTTAATCTCTTGTTTTTATTTTAGTTATTTTTTTGATAAAAATAAATTTGTTTTCAAATATAAATGCTATATTTGTTTTTGTTTTCTTTTTTTCATTCGAAACCTGAAATATTGAGATATTTGTTGTTTCTTTTATATATAACAATACTTTGGCAGATTGTAATAAATACTTTAACTATTCTGCCCATTATATGTTAGGATATCTTTAAAAATAATTTGCTGGGGAACTGGACCGGGGTGGTTAGTATGTCTATGTTTTTTTTTTTTTTTTTTTTTTTTTTTTTTTCAGATTTTGTTCTGTCAACATTTCTTAAATTGTAAGATCGATCCAGTTCGGTTAGCTCTGAAAACTATTCTACAATTAATTATAATTTTAGTTTTAAAAGATATCATTAAGCAAGATGTTAGCCTATATAGTAAATATATATCTATGAAGCGTCCTTGATTCCTGAGTCGGTATACTATTATAGTTATATAGCTACAGTATTATGGTTAGTGTTTCGTGTTTTGTTTTTATTGTTCAAACCACAAAAAAAAAAAAAAAAAAAAAAAAAAAAAAAAAAAAAAAAAAAAAAAAAAA